GCTCCACCCTCATTCACTTTATATTCCACCTACCATACCAGAGAAAGAGTTAATGTTTTGAATCTGTTATGACTGTTCTTTTAATTTCACCCTTTCTCATTATACAACAGTAAATCCACAGCAGCCTAGTTCCCAGTTGGTTCCTCAATATACTGTTCCAGGAATACATCTCGTACACACTCCAGGAATTCATCCTCCACATCATTAGAACTGACTTGACTAAACCAGTTTGAATGCAAATTAAAGTTGCCCTTTACTGCCATCTTTATTTTTTTATAGCCGATCCAACAAAAGCACTACAGTTTGGTGTTTCTATAAACAACTCTCACCAATGTTTGCTTCCCCATGCTGCTTCTTATCTCTACCCAAACTGATTCTTGATCTAAGATCCTCTTTTACTAATGTACTGATCTCACCTATTATTAGGAGTGGTATCTGCCTGCTTTCCCTATACCTCCCAAATTTAGAATACCTCTGAATATTCACTCCCCTATCTCGGTCACCCTGTAGCCACATCTCTGTAATGGCAATGAGATCATATACATTTTCCTCAATTTGGGCATTCAAATCATAATCCTTCCTTGTGAATACACATTCAGATAGTGTCTTTGATTCAACCTTTTCAACGTTATTTTCCATTTTGATCCCATTTAATGTTTATCATTGCTTTGTCTGTCTTCTATTTCTGCCTTCTTCTCTTCTATTTTATTTTATTATTTTTGCTTCCATTGAATCTGCATTCCCTCTTGGTTTCTCATTTCTCATTCCATGGGAAAACTGGTTTAAGCCCTTCCACCAGCACTAGCAAATTTCCCCGAGTGTTAGTTCCCGTCCTGCAAAGATCAATTCATCCATTTTGTACAGGTACCACCTACCTCAGAACAAGTCCTAATGTGCCAGGAATCAGGTGTCCTCCCTCCTACACTGGTTTTCCAGCCATGTGTTAAATCACCCAGTTCTCCTATTTCTGTGTTTACTAGCATGTGGGACTGGGTGTATACCTGAGATTCATGCTTTGGAAGCCCTATTTTTCAATCTCTCTTGTAGCTGTGAAATCAATTTTCAGGACCTCATTCTCCTTCTTCCATAAGCCATAGGTACCAACATAGACAATGTCCCTTGGCTGTTCATCCTGACCACGAAGAATATCCCAAGCGCTTGGTGATAATTTTGATCATGGCACTAGAGAAGCAAACATTCCAGCATGGAGTCATGTTTACGACCTCAGACCCCTAACTAAAGAATTGTTTATCAGTATTTATTTTCCACTTGTCTTAATCCCCTCCTGTACATCTGAGCTGCTGATTGTCCCATTGACTTGCCTGTGACTGCAATAGTCTGAAAAACCATTGCTCCTTACCAGTACATAAATGGAAAATAGATTTGTGAGCAGGCTTGTCTCGGGACTTCTGCACAACCTGTCTAGTTCACTTGGAATGTCTTGCGGTCACCCATCCCTTATCTCCCTGCACACCCCTAACTGAGGTGTGACCATCTCCCTAAAAGTGCTATCCTCTGCCTCCCAAATGCAGAAGAATGACCCCAACTGGTGCTTGACTTCCAAACCTGAAGCTGAAGCTTGTGTAGTTGATGACAATTCTTTTGGGTGTTTTTGTCTCAGTCTCAAGGTGCTTCTATGACTTCCTATATTCCACAGGCTGTATATGCCACTTTGCTGAGCTGCCCCGTTATAACTATACTGATTGTTTATTAAAAGTAGAATGGATTACTAATCCCTCACCAACCAGTTCCTCCTCCTGCAGCAAAGTCAGATCTAAATACTGGATGGTGAAGAAAGCAGATGAAACAATGGAAATATAGAGAGCATCACCTCCTCCTTCTTTCATGTAACTCACCATTCACAAAACTCACCCAGCTTGAAACTTTCACTCTCCTTACAAGATGCACTGAGGCCTCTGTACTTATACTCTTTGGCGTTACACTGTAGTAACCAGGTCTACCTAATTAATTATTTGGCTATATTCTAGTTTAGAGGATGATGCAGTGGTAGTGATACTACCTCAGGACCAGAAGGTCCAGGTTCAAGTCCTACATACCCGAGAATTTTGTCATAACATAGTGTCATACAGCATGAAAACAGACCCTTCAATCCAACTCCTCCATGCCAAGCAGATATCCCAATCTGACTTAGTCCCATTTGCCAGCACTTAAACCATATCCTCTAAACCCTTCCTATTCATATACAGATCCAGATGCCTTTTAAGTGTAATTGTACCCGCCTCCACCACTTCCTCTGGCAGATCATTCCATACATGCTCCACCTCTGCATGAAAAAGTGTTTTTTTAAATCTTTCCTCTCTCACCTTAAACCTATCCCCTGTAGTTTTGGACTCCCCCACCCTAGGAAAACGACCCTGGCTATTTACCCTATCTTTGCGCTCAGGAATTTATGAACCGCTATAAGGTCACCCCTCAGCCTCCAACGCTCCAGGGGAAATAGCTGCAGCCGATTCAGCCTCTCCCTATAACTCAAACCCTCCAGTCCAAGCAGCATCCTTGTAAATCCCCTCTGCACCCTCTCAAGTTTAACAACATCCTTCCTGTAGAAGGGTGACCAGAATTGTACACAGTATTCTAAAAGTGGCCTTCTGAATAGGTTGATTAACAATATTCTTTTCCCTGCCTAATGCCAACAACTTTGGTTTTTTACCTTCCTGTAAATCTTAGCACAATAAATGCCAGTTAAATATTAGCTACAGAAAACACTTTTCATAAGATATTAACACTTAATAACACATCACTCTGCTTGGAATCTCTGTGGAATCATACATGTATAAAATGCCAAATTAATGGAGCGCTATTATATTGTTGCATCAATGAACCGGAGCAAATAAAGAGTTCCAATAAAAATTGAACTAATCATTGGCTAATTTATATTGGCATATAGTTATGTAATGTAATGTAATGTAATGTTATGTTAAGTTATGTAATCGGGTAGTTTTTGCTGGTATCCATGTTTAAGCAGGAAATAATATTTTATCTCTTTCTATCAGGGAGTGGTTCATGTGATCCTGGGGATTCATATGAACATGATGTCACACTCTATGCCATGGTTGAGGGTAGAAAAGAGCATGTTTTGGATGTGTTGCCTTTTTCATCCTACAGGGTAGGTGGAATTGCTGCTTGTTCTTTAAATGCCTAACTTTAATTAATCAGTATTTTAAGGTAATATGTCTGCAATGTGTATTTGAGTGCGTATGGATAGCATAGATCCTACCACACCATGATGCCAGGATCTTAAATGAACAGTTTATCTTCCAGCTCATTAATTGAACGAAAGTAAGGACAGGAAACATAGCATTATAGTAATGGGGTACAGGTTCAATCTCTCCCTTCTGCTCTGCCAAGTTTCTAATCACTGCCACATCTGTGGCAGTAGTGTGGCAGTTAGAGCGCAGTCAGATTTTCCAGGACTGTGGAAAAGTGAACAGAGAGTTCTCTGCTGTTGCCATTACTCATCAGCCACATATGAATGAACGGCTTTGAGATGAATCTACAGGCAGGTGACAAACTGCAAACGCTGTCATAGGAGGTGTGCCCCCAGGGAGACCAGAGAGTTAATAAAGGTTCTTTTAAAGAAAATTCAAATATTCATAACTTTAACCAATAAGAAAATTTACTTTATGACTGCAAATCATTGATGATTTTCAATGTTAATATCCGTATGTGTATATATATCTTTCATTACAACGTAACAGTTTCAACTAGTTACTTAGGATGAGCAAAGGGACTTCTTTCTATGTAGCATCTTATTGCCCAAGGGTTACTAATCATAACTTAAAACCATAATATCACTGAAGTTGCTGGCACCAAGAATTCCCTCTACCAGTACAAGGGTTCAACCTGCCCTGTTGCTGTTATTTTACACCACATTCTAATCAACTAAGATAATCAACCCTAACCAAAGGCCCTAAACAACGACATGGTAGTCATTATAAGTTTATCTGTGCCCTTCCTTGTGATTGTTGTAAATCGGTGAGATTCAACTGCTGCATTACCCAGCTGGATAGTTAAGGTAGTGACAGCATATTCTATATCTTCCTTCTTACGTGTCATGATGTCACATTTTGTTGCATGGTGCTTCTGTGAATCATCTTGGGGTGTTTAATTATGTTAAAAGTACTATATATACAAGTATAAATTGGTGTTATTATTCCTTCTCAACTATAACTTAGAAGCAGAAACATTAACTTGTGTCCATTTAAAGTTATTATTGATGATTTTGGCCCCGCTTCAACTACTCAGTGTAAATAAAACAGTTTCCTGACCCTTTGCCAACAGCGATGTGGCAGAATTAATCAACCAGAGGGTAATATTTATTACTTTATTTCCCCATTTTGTCCCATTTTTCTTCTTTCCAGTCCCATTTTACTTGTTTCCAAGAATCTGTCTCAGATCAGAAGGGGTGTAAAGTGTGAAATTTTCTTTGATACAATAACAGTGGACCAAGATCCTTAACAGTCATCAATATTTTTACTATCATGTTTCATCTGGATATCTAGTACTTGACAACTCTTCGCTAACTTCAATGAATGTAGTAACATGACAATAGTTAACTGCTTATGTGTTAAAAATAAAGAATTAAAAAAGTGTCTGCCTTTTAACCTATTGGCATTGTTTGCAGGAACCAGCCCTAGTTTCAGTTGCTATCAGTCCAGAACTCCAGACATCTGCCACAAAGTTCTGCCTAAAACAGAAGAGCCACCGAGGACTGAACAGGAATGTGTGGGCTGTGGACTTCTTCCACATTCTACCTGTCATGCCACCATCACCTTCTCACTTAGCAGAGTTTTCTATCAACATGGGCTGTGGATCTCTTCAACCAGGCAACAGGTAGCAGCATTTTGATCACCTGGTGACATTTTCTTGGCTTGGGCAATTTGTTTAACAGTTTATAACGTAATACATAGTCCGTCATGATGGCCCAGGAGTAAATATGTTGCCGAATTGTGACTGTGAGCCCTGCAGACCAGAAAGGACCGTGGTTTAATCCTTTGATCACTAGATTGAGCTTTCTTTATCATTATTGAGCTATTTTCCAATCAGAAATTGCGCACAACTGGTAACAAACATCTTCATTTCTACAAACAATAATGAATCATTATGGCTGTGCTTCCTGATTGGATAATTTCCATTATCTTTGAATATTCATTGGTTTGATGGTTAAAGTTGTCAGTTATTTTATGTGAAGGGCTCTGAAACTATCTGCACTAACCAAAACTTCATTAGTTGCTGCTTTCGGTGACGTGCTTTCTTGTTTAAACAAATGTAGCTGCAGACTGTTGGTCAACACACAAGCTTAATTTCAGAATATCTAGGGATGTCACGATAAAAACAAGACGTAGCCCAAATCTGAGACCTAGAGCTGCCACTGACCTGGAATTACACCTGAGATATGAGGAAGAACCTCCATCTGCCCAAGTCCATGCTTTGTTTCATGAGTGAGAAGTATTTGCTTGATTGGGTAGGCTATCTGCAAATGTAAGGGCCATCACCCACATTTTGCTTATATATGGCAGCGAAACCCACAGTTGCTTTCCCAAAATTGATCTCCTTTTTCTTTCTCAACTGTAGTGCGATATGAGGCAGACAAAGCATGTGCTTATATTTTTTCCAGGAACATGTTGTTAGCCTGCCACCAGAGGCTATTCCTTGAAAAGGGCTGATCCACATGGCTAACGAGGACTCTCTTCTGCACTTACCACCTGCCAAAGGCATAGCAAAAGGATTTGAGGGTTGAGAATCAACCTGTTTGGCCATGTTTTGAAGGCACCTTCTATGGCCATCAAGCCCTCGAGTAGGACTCAAAACCAGAGCTTCAGGTTCACAGGCAGAGATATTACCCTTGCTCTACAAGACCTCCTCTCAAAGCCTATCAGGAAACGTGAATTCTTTGGCCATTCCCCCTTTTCAGAAAAATAACTTATTTGGTATCAATTGCCCTTCTTTTGCAAAGGTTTGCAAACTTTTCAGAGATTCTCTGGAGAGCTCCTGTTCTGCTGATGCCTTGTTAGACTCCATAGATTTACAGCCTGAACTTAATAGTTCCTTGGCCCCAGTTAAGTCTACTAAATCATTCTTTGTGAAGAATGGTGATGATGACTCCATTTTTTAAAAAATTTCGTTTCTGTACTACCAGCATAAGTTTGGAGTTTTCGACAAGTCATGGACGATCGTGGTCCCTCCTGCACATGGAGTGTCTGCCTGATCTATGCACAGGCCCACACCATCCCCACAGCTCTGTCTATTCTTCTGAAAACTATAGTGGGTAAGGATCTAACTTAAATTCTATTATTATCTTTGATTAAAAAAAACTTTAAATGACTACACTGTAGTGCAGAATGACTCTTCCCTTTCTCCATCCCTCTCACTACACCCCACCTTCCCTCCTTCCATGCCACTCCACCAGTAGCAAGCTACACAGTGGAGCTGAAATAGTGCCAGGACCCTGTTGAAAAGAAGCTAAATGAGAGTGATTCAGGAACTTAGTTGGCTCAGTAACTGTTCAGTCAGATGGGAAGGAGCGTCTCCGTGCCATACTTCTGCACATTTCTGAAATCACTGAACTAGTAAAAATGTCAATATTGAAGAGGTCATTTGAGATAACATGTATGTTGTCCCTGTGTTAAAGGTGGAGTCGTATAACCATTCCTCTGCCATATGCAGCGCTTACCACTGGGACCAGGTTTCGTTGGAGCCAGATGGGTCCTGTGGCTGGAAATATGTGGGCAATTGACAATGGTTAGTCATATTGTGCTTTTGAAATTTAATATTGTACAAAAAAGAATCAACATGATTGCAGGTGATCAAGTTGTGTTCAGCTAGTTATTTCCTTGCATATTTCATTTAGTTTATTTGAATTGCTTATTTTATTGGGACATTTGAAAAACTCTATTATGAATAATAACTAATAGCTGATAGACAATCCACTCTGAAGTTCTGTTAATATGCTACTATATGTCACAGCAATTTTTTAACAATGATTCATTTTTTCAACTTGTATCATCTTTTATTAAAAACAATGGTTCATGGGGTAAATGTACACCTTTGTTTGAGTTTCAACCATTCAAACCAGAAGGTTCCACATTCCTGATCGAACTTGATCGGGGTGAGATTGATTTTCCAAGCGTGATGTTGTCCCTGCACTAGAAAACAGCTGGCCATGGTTCTCATTCCTGACTACAAAACAGAAACCCTTGCCTGAAGCTGATATGCATCAGCTTTGAATTTGAAACTTGGTAGGTTCAGGATTTGAACTCTGTACACGATCTACCATCACAGCAACAATCACAATCTGGGCTGAAAAAATGGCCATACTTGTGAAGTGTTAAAGAACGAACATTGCCTATGAAGCTTTAAAAACAAATTAGTTGATTCCTTTGGTAGGGTTATAGTGACAGAAAATGAATAAAGGTTAAAAAAGAAAGGATAAAGTTATAGTGGCACAAATGTTAGGCGTCAACCATATCATTGTTCATATTTCCTTTGAATTCTTCCTGTGTATAATGTTAACAAAATATTCAGTTGTAGAGGACAAAACAGATAATCTTAGTTATTTAGGGCAATATTTTTTATCAATGTGACGTGTTTACCCAGTTTATTCCTGTTGCGAATCTTGTAAACCAAATTTAGTTCAAGCTGACATTGCAATAGTCTGATCTTTGGGATGTTTTATTCCTTCTGCAGTCTACATTGGCCCTGCATGCTACAAATTGTGCTCTGGCCGAGGTCGATGTACCACCAACGGATGCAAGTAAGATGAAACATCATTAATCTCTAGTATTTCATTGAGGTTTAAGCATGACTTTTTGTTATTGCCAACAAATTAAAACATTCTTACTGACCTAATTCCTTTGATAATTAAACTTGTTTTAGCATCCCCAATCATTCACTCACATGACACACACTGTTTATTTATTCGGGACCTGTTTATTGACCCATCACAATAGACTTTAAGTAAACTTCCGGTAGATAATGTCTCATTTGATACAATTTATTCACAATCTTGAATAATTTCACAGTGCTCACATCGGTCAGATTAAGTGGTAAGTAAACTCTGAAAATAACTGGCAGAGCAATATTTTTGCGAATTAGAATGTGATGGATTATGTGGTGACCCATTTGCCATATAATTTGCTCACATAAATGAATCAAGGTGCCAGATGTCATGATGATTGTAAACCATACACAGTGTTGTTCTGTGGAGACATTGAGATTTCCTCTGTGCGTCAAATGTCTTGTGCTATTTTTGTAAAGAACACATTGTGATTTTACTTAATATGGCAGTTGTTGCAATTTGAAACTTTGCTTCTCAATCCTGTTTTTCAGAAAAATATTGAGGAACTTTGGAGTTTTGATAGTAGCAATCAGATAAATGAAAAACTAACAGGGTCTTCTGACAGAAATGACTCTCACTATTCATAGAACCTCATGTCAAAAATAATTTAAAATGATTCAGAGAAATGAGTTTATATTGAAGTGTTTCTAAATTTATTATGATCAGGTTAAATGAAGACATTTCTGTCAATGATTGTTTTCAAAAGTCATGTAGAAAATTCCAGCAACAGTCCTTATGTATATTTAAGGCTGAGATAGATTGATTGTTGATGAGTGGGGCAATAAAGGGTTACAGGGACTTGCAGGAAGGTGGACGTGAGAAATTTTAGACCAGTCATCATTTTATTGAATGGCAGAATAAGCTTGAGGGGCTGAATGGCCTACTCCTGTTTCTATTTCTCATGGTCTTATGGGCCTAACCCCAAAGTAAATCCCTGTATTCCCCTTGCCTGATACCTAAAAGTTCAGTAAGCTGCCAGGCTTCCCACATGGTATGGGCCATCCTCTAACATAGTTGAAGTAACATTGAAGACAGGATGAGGCACTTACATGGCTATTAATGGTCACTTAAGGACTTCAACAAGCTTAAGGTCAGGGGTCTATCTAAAATCTACTTCAAAATAGGAGACTGGTTGAAGGTGAATCATATGCTGCATTTTACAGCATCCTCACCTTCAAACGTGCTACCTGCGCAGCATAACACCAACTGTCCCAGCCCAGGATCTTTGGTCCATATCCAATTGAAAGACGCATTAATGATTTGTGTTGAAGAACCTATAGTGGAGCACCTGAAAAACTAAAAGCATTGGAAAAGTACCATCAGCAGTGCCCTTGCAGATTCTCCAAATCTAGTTCTAAGAAAGGTGGTCCAACAGTAGCATCCTCTCCTAAGTCAACATGCCTAGCATTGAGGCACTAATCACTCAAATGCAGCAACACTGGGTCCTGTCAATATTCTTGAATGTTGTTGGAGTTGCACTCATCCAGGCAAGTGGGGAGCATTCCATTATGCTCCTGAGTTGTGTCTCATTGATGGTGGGCAGGCTTTGGGGAGTCAAGCGGTGAGTTGGGGGTTGTACTTGTCACTGTGTGTCTGACACCAGACTTTTATAATAACTGCCCTAGTTGCAACTCAGTTACAGCAGGAGACTCCTAGGAGTACAACAGAAACACTTTAGAAATGTCCTCTCTGAAGAAGTCAAACATTCACGCCAATTCTTGGGAGTTTCTGACCTATGATCAATAAAAGTGGAAAAGACTAATTTGGGAAGGTACAAAACCATTTTGAAACTTTGCTATCCAATCCTTCCAGCAGAGTCTGCAGATTGTGCACTGAACATAGCAGCCATCTCAGAACTCCCCAAATTGGAGTGGAAGCAAGTCATCTTAAATCCTGAGGGGCTGCCTAAGAATATGGAATTGATCTGTTAAAGTCAAACCCATTCTGGTCTTGAGATCTGAGACTTAGCTACATCCTTGAAAGATTTTGGACAAGTGTATAGTGAGGTGTTGTGGGAATGGCATTTGTATCTTGTATGGCAGCTGATGGTTTTGTGACCAGCCAGGAAGTGTGGCTCTTTCTGTTGTCTTCTTCTGGCAGGAGCCTGAAATGCAGTAATGGTCACATGGACACCTTGGCAATGTTATACTTATTAGGGAATTTAGTCTGCAAAAGCTGTAGGCAGAGATTACCAGAAGATACATCCTGTTTACATTACAAACTCACATCCACATATTCAACTCCAACCTTTGAAATATAGAAAGCAGACAGATTACCAATTAGGATTCGGATTTTAAACGTTCAAAATAAAAGCCATCTACATCCAACAGTATGTTGTACAACAATAGTGAAAGCAGGCACTGGGTTTTATTCGAAGAGGAACAAAATAATATCAAGGAAATAGTAAGACTCTATTCCATATGCAGCACAAATCACTTTTTCACAGAAAGTATTTTTGAGCATGCTGTCCCCATATTGGTCATATCACCAAAAAAATCACATCTATATTAATTAATTATGACTATCAATGCTCAATAGATAAAAATATCCCCATGTACTACATCCTTCAAGTGTGTAACAAAACACAAAAAAACCCAATGTTCCTCGGATAATGAAAACAAAAGATGTGCTTGTTTAGATTGAGAAGGAGGAGGTTTTGTGATCAGCTAATTAATAGTTTCCAAAATTATGAAAAGCACTGACACTGCTGAATTAAATAAATTATTCCCATTAATTTAGCTCTCAAATGACTAACAGACATATCCATTTTCTTTAATGAATGGAAAATCATGAACTGATGATTGTAAAAATTCCAACTTGGGCCACAACACTTCTTAAAATATTGGAATAGAGAATTTAAACAGAACTGTTACCTACAGAGGCCAATAATATTTGGAATAAGTTAGCATTGAATTGAAGCATATTATTAGGTTTCAGTGTAAATAGTACACACACATTGTGTAGGAAGAAAACTGTGAGGAGACAGGAAAGTGGATATGCAGTCCATCAAGAAGTGTGATGGCTGTGAGGTCAAATAGCCTTTTCTCACAACAGTCAATATTTATGTGTTTCAAAACAAGAAAATCAATATTATCTGTCACTGATCAATTCTTACAAATCTAAGTCTAGCCTTTAGAGGACAAAGGATGCAGCATAAAGATGCTTTGGAGATTCCCCTAATTCAAAAGCTTCAAGCTTAAAACACCAGTGCAAATCCTGAAGGAAGCCAATTTGCTGACTTTGGACATGCATTAAATACTATGATTATAAATAATGATAATCTGCTGTAAAATATTTAAGCCCATAAACAGTTCTGTTAACTTTTTGGTGTAAACCTGGTTACTTCTACATTTTTTTTTCCAGATGTGATCCAGGATTTTCAGGACCTGGTTGTGACATAGCTTCACAGACATTTCCTACCATCATTTCAGAAAGTTTTAGTAGTTCCCGGCTATCATCCTACCACAACTTCCACACAATCCGCGGTGCAGAGCTTGGCTTTGGTTGTGGCGTCCTCTCAAGTGGCAAGGCATTGGTATTTAACAAAGAGGGAAGGCGAGAGCTCATTACTTCATTCCTGGACAGCACTCTAGCTAGGTAAATAATAAGATCCTAAATGAACAATTGAAATTATAAATGGCTGCTAGTGTTCACGCAGAAGTGGTGTGCTTTTAGTCTGAGGCAGAATTCTTCACAGTAAAAAAAATGTTGCCCTCAGAAGCCAATTTGCTTGCTCATTGAATACTTTTGGGATGCTATTGCCATTTTTTCATCAAACAGCTGAAAGACGTAATAGCACTGTGGTCCCACACTACATAATCTTTATCATTCTGGTTCAAGGCTCCTTGAAGACAGTGGACCAAGATAACTGTTTTAGTCTAAACTGGAATTTTCACACCACAAGCAATGTTTGTATCTGCTTTGAACTCAGAAAATGGCACCCTTATGTCAAGTGTAATGTTAAAATAAATGTTTGTTACTTCACTAAGAGAGAAATAAAAAGGTAAGATTAACATTCTATAATATGAAAGTAGATTTATTTTCATCAAGTTACTGCTGCTTTGAGACAGGTTCCTGTTCAGTGACCTTCTTTCACCTCAACCTTGCTACTTGCGATCTAGAGCTTTCTTTGCAGGCATTTTGTGGCTGAGAAAATAAAAAGTTTGCATTAAACTTAAACGGACCGGTACTGATTATGTGAAATATTGTCTTAAAATGGGAGTGACAAGGTTGTTTTTTCCTTTATGGAGCAAAATGGTATGAGTTATGGAGCCTTTATCACCCCATGTGAAGGTCAAATTGATGTTCCCCTTAAATCTGAATGTCTCAACTTGCCAATGCTATCAGATCTTGGTGCCCCATCCATTTGGTAATTAAATCTGCTATTTTCAAATCTCCACATGCACAAAAGTCAAGCAGACAAAACAGCGGATAAATACTTTAGCACAAATTGAATTTTGAGCTTGAAGGCTGAGCTGTTAGGCTCAGAGCCAGTAGGCTACAAACCCTAATTTTTGTATTATCTGACATAAGCTACAAATTACATCATAAGGGTGGAAAAATCATTCAATAAAGAGATGATTTGGCAGCAACTGATTACTGCCAGCCCAGAGTGACACATTGATGCAGAATGCAATTAAATTTCAGCAGACGAGCACAGAGAATTAGAGCATAGCGTATGCATTTCCAAGATGTATTGACCTAAATACATTCTGTAATTTCTGATTATATGGCAGCCTATTGATCTTTCTGCTTCAAGTTATAGTACCTGTCTGGAGTAAATCTATTGAGCAGTTGACTGATGAATCTAGAGTTATCAATAAAAGGTTATTTCCGAAGTCTCTTAAAGTGATTTCAGCCAAAGCAGCATTAGAATTGTGAAACTGAGCTATTATCACCAACCCATGACCTATTCTGAAGCCATTGGGTATCAGCTATTAGGTTCAGTATAATGTGCATGTTATAATTACTTAAGAAGGAGCTCCCACTATTGGTCGCAAGAAACACCCAAGAAGAAAACTTTAGGCCTCAGAGGTCAGTCAAGAACAAACACCTCACTAAGAGCAAACAGAAACAGAAAATGCTGGAGAAACTCAGCAGGTCTGACAACATTTGTAGAGAGGAAAACAGAGTTAAGGTTTCAAGTCCACTGACCCTTTATCACCTCATTTAGGGATGACGGCCACATACAGTGTAAGAAAAGCTTGTGTATCTATCATTTCTCTGCCTGTCCATCAATGGATGAAATTCTCGTTGATAATGTGTGTACTGATAATGTGATGTTCATTTCAGGGCTCATGATCCCCGTCTCTCCTCTATTCTGAGTTTCTTTTTAACTGTTGTCAAGTTTTTGAAAGCTGAAGACTATATAGAATAATTGAAATTACAGAAGAAGTTTGAAGAAAGAGTATGGCTGACCCATCAGTTCATCTCCATAATTGTGATGACTTGTCAAATTTTTATAATTGAAATTTAAACACTCTACAGAAGGATCTTCTCTGAAAGTCTGTCAGTGGACAATTACTTTTCTCTTTAGCTTATCTGAAATATAGGGTGCAGGGTGGGTGCGGGGGTAGTGTGAGGCTGATCAGGAGTGCAGAGATTCCAACGCAACAGGAGACATGGAGAATGGGGTACTTCATCAGTCACAGTTGGAGCCTTCTACCTCTTGCCTTAAGTTTATATCGTTTTGTTATTGCTACTTATGGAAAAATGGCTTCCTATCCTCCCTATCAATGCCCTCAGTATTTTATACAGCTCTATTAGGTACCCTCTAAACTTTAATTGTTCCAAAGAAAACAAACCCAGCCTGTCTAATATTCTCTCTTGGCTCAGATATTCCAGCCCTGGCAACATCCTGGTAAAACTCCTTTGCACTGTCTTGAGTGCAATAACATACTTCTTATAATCTGGTGACCAGAACTGTACATAGTGCTCCAGTTGTGCCTGAACCAGTGTTAACTTCATGCTCATTCTATGCCATAGCTAATAAAGACAAGTATCTAATCTACCTTCTTAATCACCTTACCTACCTGGTCTGCTACCTTTTGGGATCTGTGGATATGCAGAGCACTTTCCAAGGTCCCACCATTCGTAATGGAATCCTTTACCTTTTAGCATTACCTGTCACTATTTGAATTTTCTTGAATTCCATTTGCCATTTGACCACTTTTGCTGTGTCGAGGCTGTGTGCCTTCCTGTGTTTTGGAGAACAGCAGATTGCAATGTTATTTAATGCGTTCCTGGGCCATTCCTGTCTCCTCTTTGCTGCACGAATGGTCCTGGTCCTCCACAGTCAGCTTGATGGCTCTTTCCTCAAAGAGGTTGAGAATCCATGTCAACTAACCACCCTCCCCACCCCCCGCCACCGCTCCCCCCCCACCCCTGCCAACAGCCATTGCTGCCTCGCCAGTCTTGCAGTCTGGGTCCAGTTGTGCATCAAAAGGATGGAGTGTGGTGGGAATTGGTGCAGGAGCAGTTTGTCATCATCAGTTGTCATAACCATTGCAAGTGGTGAGACCTCCCAAGTGAGTGAATGGGAAACAGAGTGGGCAGGAATGATACTAGGTTGAAAGGATGACGTTGTTTGAGTAGATATCATGCATGTGAATGCTGAGGCTTGTGGGATTTGGCCCTTTGTGAGATATGTGAGCAGTGACACTGTGATGCTCTTGTAAGATTGTGGTTACAATAAGAAGATGGTATCACTTAAATTAAAACAGCACAGGAGATTATTGATACTTTTCCTGCAGTGTTTGTTGTCTGTTTCATGGGGGTCAGTGACATTGACCTGTGCTGCTGTATTCGGGACAGATCTGATGGGATAGCCTCATGCTGTGGTCACCCAGGAAGAAGATAGACTTTCTCTGTAGGGCAGCATCGGTAAACCTTGAAGCCATCTTAGGAATCTTGATAAGCATTTCTGGGCTTCTCACGTGACTACCATAGGCTGGCCAATGCTATCAGATCTTGGTGCCCCATCCATTTGGTAATTAAATCTGCTATTTTCAAATCTCCACATGCACAAAAGTCAAGCAGACAAAACAGCGGATAAATACTTCAGCACAAATTGAATTGTTTTGAGCTTGAAGGCTGAGCTGTTGGGCTCAGAGCCAGTAGGCTACAAACCCTAATTTTTGTATTATCTGACATAAGCTACAAATTACATCATAAGGGTGGAAAAATCATTCAATAAAGAGATGATTTGGCAGCAAGCGATTACTACCAGCCCAGAAGGCTCTGGCTTGCAGCAACTGAAGTGGTGTTCACTTGGCCTTTAAAAATGATGCCAGACCCAGAGGATCCCGCTAGTGGTGAGAACATCCAGCTCACTCGCCATGCAATGCACTGAGCATCTTATGGAACATAAAAACTCAAAGAACTGCGGATGCTGTAAATCAGGAACAAAAACAAAGTTGCTGGAAAAGCTCAGCAGGTCTGGCAGCATCTGTGAAGGAAAAAACAAAGTTAACGTTTCGGGTCCGGGGACCCTTCCTCAAAACTCTCATGGAACATCTGGCTTGCAAGGGTAATGAGCTGTGAAGGATGTGATTTCATAGGATAACCCATCCCAATTTAACTTCAAAACTCTGCCTCTTAGATTTTCTGTGCAATTTCAGTATAAATAGAACCCTCTCTATTGCTCAAGTGACGTATTTTAATAAACATGTTTCATTATGGGTTTCTGTAAGATCGGAAATATCCTGCCTCATACTCTTATGATTCCCAGGTTCCTCCAGTTTACTCTTCGCCTGGGCAGCAAGTATGTACTAAGCACGTGCAAACCACCAGACCAGCCAGGAGAAGGAATTCTACTGCATTATTCTGCTGACAATGGAATCACATGGAATTTGCTGCAGCATTACTCTTACCAGAATTACCATGAGCCAAGGTAAGAAAAATACAGGTCACTGTATAACACTTTCATTAATACTAGCAAATTAACCCTCTATTAATGAACTGAATCTTAACTTTCCTCTGAAATACCCCTGTAAACCATTAAATTGTAACATATTACAACAGAAAAAAAATTGAGCATACCTGTGCCTCATGGATAGCAGAAGTTCAAGAAAGTATCTCATGATTACTTTCTTGAAGACAGTTAGAGATGAGCAAAATACTGGCCCTGTCTGAAATTCCAACATGCCCTTATGAATAAAAAATTGTTAAAACGTTTAACAGCTTTTACTGTTTTTACTTCCAATCTGTTGCTTTGTATGGAATATTACTTGTGATTCTCCTATAGTCTAAATTTATGAAAAGGTGAAGAGTACTTTTCAAATTGCTTTAGTATACCCAAATCCTGGAACTATCCATTAATTGACATCTCAGTTTCTACTTTCCCAGAAAGTAAGTTTGTCAATTTCAGCCAGAATCAGGATCTAACCATCAATGCTGGTAATTTTAGTGTACCAATAACTGTGCAGTTTATTCACTATTCTTCTGCAGACATTCTGAATAGCCTCATCCCAAGTGGGCACTCGACTGTAACTGAATGATAAAGTGATGAATTTTGGAAGGTCAAGTGCAGTTGGAAGTTATACAATGAATGGCAGAACCCTTAGGACTGTTGGTATGCAGAGAGATCTGGGTGTGCAGGTCCACAGATCACTGAAGTGCAGGTAGATAAGGTAGTAAAAAAGGCTTATGGCATGCTCGCCTTCATTGGAAGGGGCATTGAGTATAAGAATAGACAAGTTATGCTGCAGCTTTATAGAATTTCAATTAGGCCACACTTGGAATATTACACACAGTTCTGGACACCACACTACCAGAAGGATGAGGATGTTTTCCAGAGGGTACAGAAAATGTTTACCAGGATGTTGCCTGGTATGGGGGATTTTAGCTATGAAGAAAGGTTGAATAGACTGGATTTGTTCTCACTGGAACCCAGGAGGTTGAGGGGCGACCTGATAGAAGTTTATAAGATTATGAATGGCATGGATAGAGTGGAAAATATGAAGTGTTTTTTTTTCCCAGGGTGGAGGGGACACAGGTTTAAGGTGCAAGGGGGAAAGTTTAAAAGAGATATGCAAGGTAAGTTTTTCGCACAAAGGGTGGTGAGTGGCTGGAACGTGTTGCCAAAGGAGGTGTGGAAGCAAACACAATAGTAGCATTCAAGATGCACCTGGACGAATACATGAATAGGAAGGGAATAGAGGGATATGGATCTTGTAAGTGAAGACAATTTTAGTATGGAAGGGCAAAATGAGTTGGCACAGGCTTGGAGGTCCAAAGGTCCTGTTCCTGTGCTGTATTGTTCTTTGTTCTTTGAATCAAGGTGAAGCAAATTAATTGTAATTGTCTTTAAGAGAAGCCCCAGTTCACACCTTGATATGAGCTTCATCATTCAATAAAAGCTTCCAGCACCAGCATCTTGGAAGTTTTAGTTTGAAAGTGGTGAGGTGATGGTAAAGCTGTAGTAGATTTTAAGGAAGTACAGAGGAATGGATAACGGGCTGGGCAAAAACAAAATGGTCAGTTTAGGTTGGAAGGAAAAACTAAATGACAAAAGGAGCATTGGTGGAAATCAAAAGTGCAAGTGCAATAGGGCAAATTAAATAAAAGATGGGTCCAGAGGAGCTGTAAATGCCATAACAGAATCATTGCAAGCATATGCTGTCAGAAAATAATGAGAAAAGGTGGTTATGATTAAAAATTGTCGGAACCCATATGTGTGTCATCCATCATGTGCAGATTTTCCAGGGTGATATAGTGAAAGTGATTTACACTATTACCTACACCACACCAAAAGCTTCTGGGTGATTTGTTCAGCTCTGCTGTTTTCCTTGCTAATTCAGTTTGTCAATTTCAATAGCTCCCCACTTTGAGATGGATAGCAACTGTGTCTTCCCTGAATGTACACATCTCTTCTTTCTGTTGCTCAAACTGCAACATGTGACCTAGTCACTTGGCAGCAGTGGAATTTTTCCAAGTTTCTCCCAGAACCGTACATTTACATTTATCTCTAAGTAATACATTTTATTGACTTGATTATTACTTATTATACATAAATGTCAGTACATGAAAGCACCCTTGAATTTGATCATATAATAAGTTAAAACTTTGAAATCTCAACAAAATTCATAGAAATTCTCAGAATTCTGTACAACTGAACATTAGGTCAGACTTTGCACCATGAGAAAACAAGACCAGGAAAAGCAATATTTGACTATGATTCCACTTTTGTTTTGAGGAATGAAGTTGGGAAGATCCATCCTTTTGAGTCTGCCTCACTTGATTTAGCTGGGTTGGTAGATAGTGTCACACTGAGGTGAAATATGTCATCAAAATAATCATTCAGAAATCTTCAGGTGCGAATAGCAGAAAGAAATCTTAAAGCAATGTTTGACTATGTTAACATATGATCAATGTACCTATCAGATAACTGCATCAGCAATACAATAAAACTTTCCAACAGATGGAATCAAAGTGCAGATAGCTTATATATCTGCTGTAAAACAAGAATTGCAGTGTTTTTCTCTGAACTCTTGGGTTGTCAGTTTCACATGGTTACAGAGTAAAGTGTATCACAGAGAGGAAATCTGAGATCTGGGGAAGAGGCGAAACTAAATAATCCTTTGGCAATCTTCAGATATTTTAGTTTTAGCAAATTAAAAAGAAACAGGAAGCTTTCTATGGTTATTAATTTTTCAATTTTATTTTAATAATCAAAAGCTATCAGGTGTTAATCAGCATTACAGTATTTTATCACCAATTTCAATCACCATCGTTATAGTGAACCTAAAAGTCATTTGTCATAGACTGCAGCCAAGATTACAGGATTTTATTTCACTGAACTTGTATAAATAATTTTTCGAGGCCTAACTGTATTCAGCTGCTCATAATCCTTTCAAACTTTCAGAATTGCACAGATGCCTGGAGTATTCACATTGAGCTTATAAAATAAATAAAAAGTCTGGGTAGTGAACTCCATTTTCCTTTGGCCAATTTTGCTCTCTAATTATGCATACTTGTTATTGACGAGTTGGAACAACCTCGAGTTGACAAACGAGACCGGGATCTTTGCAGGCAATGGCTGCCTGCTGGGCCAGCTTTCTGCCTTTGCCAAGTATCTCCACTGTTTGAGCTTTGTCCACAGTGCCCATTGTGACTATAATGGCAGCTGTACCAGATTTTATAACTGTTCCCCAGCTGTGCTACGCCCAAGGATTTTGCCAAGTGCACTATTTTTATGGTGTGTGCCACCTGTCCTGGTGACAGCAATGCCAGCTGAATAAAACACACTCTGTGCATGATGCTATCATTTAGTTCAGGTCTCTATGCTGATTTGCAGTTAACCCCTGAATAACTATTTGGCAGTTTAATGAATTTGTGATCAGATGTAATATTGTTTTTCATGTCATTTTATGTTATGATGGCTGCCTCCTTTAAATGATTAGAAACATAAGACATAACAATATGGGATAATAAATGGATTGTACACTGTATTGTGGTATTTTAGCAAGTTAGCACAATTTCCTTGAACTTTATCAGAGGTATCTGCTTATGTAGAAGTGAATCGATGTGCACTTGCATGAGATGATTTAGTGTTAATGGGGAGATAGGTGACAACATAAAGGAAGAACTTTATATGCCCCATGCTCTTACCTGCTACATTTTCATATGTCTGGCTTTCTAGCAAAATTAGAAAAGGTGTTTTAAAGGATATACTTTATAGCACAGCATAATCTCATTTTAAAACCCTTAAATCTCTTAAAATCCCTAAATTAAACACTCTTAAGCTCAGTGTATGGCTATCATGGTTTTCTGTATTAAATCAATTATTTTTCTGCAAATGCTGTTAAAAGTGAAAAATTCGCTTGGTTGTAAAAAAAACTAGTCTGACCAATGTAATATAAGGAAGTGTGGAATGGGAAATGTGAAGATTCTTTCTTCAGGCAACAGAGTAAAAGGCAAGCTGCCATTTATATAGTTCTTTACAAAGCCACAGACATCCCCAAAGTGTTTCACAGCCAATGAAGTACTTTTGAAGTGTAGTCACAATTGTAATGTACAAAACTGCAGCCAATTTGTGCATTGCAAACTCCTAGAAACAACAGTATAATAATGATCAGATCATCTATTTTTGTGATAGTGAATAAGAAACAAATATTGATCAGGCTGCTGAGAATAATTCCCTTGCTCTTCTCTGAAATTGTACCATGGATATTAAGTCAATCTGAAAGGTCAGAAGGAACATCAGTTTAATGCCTCATCTGAAAGATAGCACCTGCAAAGTTGCAGCACTCCCTATACTGGAGAATCAGCCTTGATTTGTGTGCCACAACCCGTAAACCTCTGACTCAGAGGCATGTGCGCTACAAATTGAGCTACAGCTACATCCACAATTTCCAAAAACTAATGACACAACACTTTCCTATCCACACATTTTTTTCATTCAGGCACACTAAACAACTTGAACACCAAGTAAACAATTTGTTTATTTCAATCATCCCCATCTATTTCTATAGCCTCATATTTAAATATTTATCCTATTTGCCTTTTAAAGAAGTGCTTGTACCACAAAAATAACCCTTTTCTGAGAGTTTGTTCCTCAAATCCAGATGCCAGTTGTAGCTCACTAGTAGCATTCTCACATCAGAGTCAAGGCTGTGAGGTCAAGTCCAACTCCAAAGACTTGAGCGCACAACCTGGTCTGACACTTCTGTGCAGTACTGTATAGGTGCTGTACTGTTGGATGTGCCTCTTTTCTGGTGCTCATCAATAAAACCAAGGTAGTTTCTGCCATCTGAGGTAGACGTGTGATATCATTTTTCAAAGAAGATGAGGCTTGAATTGGCCAATGTGTCCTGGACAACAACTTTCTCTCAGATCACATCAGTCAAACAGATAACCTGATCATAATCTCATTGGTATTCGTGGTATGAT